TGGACATGGTTCAATACTGCAATTGCATCACTACATAAAATCCAATTAGAATTAACTCAAAATAAATCCATTACATCTCAGCAACAATCAATTGTTACAGAAGAATTTCCTAACAAAATAATTATTCAAGACTACAAATTTAACCAGAGAACATCGTTAAAAAAATCATCTGGCGAGCAGTACAAAACCTTCAACGAATAAAGTTGTCTTGTTATATCCCATTGTAACAGTATAAGTGCCTAACTACGTAGTAATTATTTTTTTTAACACCATATGGACACAAAACTTGGTAGTCTTGGTAGACTCCTTGAGATTCATGTGGCCAGATATATGCGGAAAACTGAATTCTAGACGCCGTTTTATAGTAACAACTATAAATTATGCATACCCTCTCAGCTATGCTGTGTGGATCAGTGGCTTGTCCTCGTCTAGCACGCACCCTTGGGCGACTTGCAGGTGGATGCTGCACTAAAGGAGCCGTACCAGGCATTGGCTGTCCATGAAAACCCTATTGAAGTGGGCAAAAGGGAAGAGAACAACATCAGGTGACTGCGGATGCCTCCATAATAAGACATTCCATCTCCCAATTCTAAACATCAGAATTATACCAAATGACAGCTATAACAGTATCGAAACAAGAATTACCACCATCTCAATTATCAGTTACTAAAAAGAAGAAATTCAGATAAGACACAACCATATATTAATAATATTCAAAAGAATGACCCCTGCAGTATTAAAGAATTGCTAAATTTAAAAGAAAATTAACTCAAAATTTACCGGCCTAACGGCAGAGGAAGCTCGGGAATCAACGACGTCGTCATGGAATCTCTTTCCACTACTTGAAGCATCATCCATTTTCATAAATCCTCCTGTCCTTTGCTCCAAGCTCAACCCCAACGGAAACCCTCCGCCAGCCCCACCTCCATAAGAACCTCCGAGTCCAACGCCAACTCCACCAAGGTGCATCGAGCTGTTTCCGGAGTTTAACTGCATCATCATCGGAGCCTGAGATGCGACTTCGTCTGTCCCCGCGTAACCAAGGATTTGGTCCAGAAAGTCGTTGGATGTAACCTCTCCCGTGTTGTTTGCCATGGCCTGAGTTGTGGATCGCTGTTTGGTGCGTGAACTTCAAAATTGCATATACGCAACTGTGTTGCGTAAATGAAAAAGAGAATGAGAAAGAGAATTGATTTGTTGAAGAAGCAGTTTCTACTTTTTCCACACAGCAGCCATTCGGTCAGAGCGAACAAGAAAGAGAAACGGCTCTCTTCCATTCCCTTTATATTTTATAATAAAAGGAATAAGAGCCCCACAGTACATCCAACTGGCAAATATAAGGACGCTTTAACATTGGCAGGTCAGAGGTCGTGAGTTCGATTCCTAAAAGGCTTTTGGAAGGTAGATATTCTTCTTGAAGGCAAAATTTTATCTAGAAGAAAGGAGTTCTACTGAAAGACGGGGTGCAAAGATGGGAAACGACTTGCTTGGCATTTTGGCAGATCAGTTGAAGGGCTCTTAAGCACTGGTTAGTTTGGGGCACAATCTGCGATTTAACATGTCTGCAACTTGAGGGACCATGGTGTAAACTCTAGGATTTAGTCAGTGTAAGGTTGATATCTGGATATAAAAAAATAATAATAAAAAATAAAAAGAATAAGAATAAAAATAGCTTCCTTTAATACATTTCATATAAGCTACTGAACTTTTAGCAAAATGTCAATTTGATCAATAAACTTTAATCATATTCCAATCAAACCCCAAGTTCTCGAAATATAAATCACGTAAAAGACACATAGACCAATTACAAAACTTGTAGCATGCTCGTCTAGGACGCTCCACCTCTCACCACGATCTTCTCTAGTCGTTGATGGAATTAAAATTAAAATTACATCTATGTTTAGAGAAAAATTTATATACAAACAATCATTTTCAATGATATTATACTTAGAAGTTGAAATTAAAGAGCCTGTCAAAAGCTGTGTGCAAAGCCAATTTATTGGGTTACACTGAATGTTAAATTCACTTAACCAACTTATATTCAGATTATTCAAAGTTCGTTGAAATTTGGTTCAAGGGTCACTAAAGAAATAAATAATCTTAAGAGACCTTCACTTTTTTACTAGCAATTATTGATTCTTTTGAAACTAATCAAATTGCAATATTTAATGAATTGAAAGCAAGAAAATGGAGAAAAATAGAAATATTTGGGCAAAGAGGCTAATTTTTCCACAGGGATGAAGACAGAGTCGTTTTCAAGATTCTCAATAGTCAAACTAGTGGGCAATTTAAAAGTCAAAATCAAATGCAGACATAATTAATAAAATAGTACATAATTTTACGCCTATCAACAATTTGAGTTGACTTCATAGTGGACACAACGAGTCATTTTCCACAACCTTAATTTTAAATTTCTACCTAACAACTGTTTTTGGCAAGACTATTGTCACTTGCCAGAAACAAGAACTGATAGATGAAAGAAGCCAAATAGTCTAGCCACAATGTCATACAATGAAATGTTGGAAATATGAAAGTGATGGAGAAGAAACAAAAGATATAATACAAAAATTGTAGCAAAACAAGATGAAGAATTAGGAAAATGTTAAGAACAATTTTGAAGGCTCGAATGTTGGATCGCTGTCCTCAAACGTTATTTGCCCCTTCTATAGTATTTTTGAAATGCTTAAAGATATTCTGACAAATAGTTTGAAAGATTATAACAAGCCTTGTTATGGAAAATACTAAAGTACAAAGTGTTTTTCATCATAACTTTGAAGAACACAATAAGAAAATGAATATGAAATAAGAACAAGAATTTGGTCTTTTGATTGTTGAATTGGAATGAATTTCAACTTTTTTTCTTGAACATTGATCGCCTATTTATAGGTCTCAATTATGTTTCACGAAGTGGTGCCAAAAGTGTACGAGAAGTCACCAAAAATAAGCTTGCAAAAGCCAAAAATCGACCTCCAACTGTTAGATTTAAGTACCATGAGACCGCATGGTTAATGCGAATTGAGGCCCTTTGGCCTCGGTATGTGGCCATGCGAGGCTCTAACTTGGAGCCATGGTGGTCCTTTTGCTGCCATTTTCTCGTATTTTCATTTCCTACATTGATTTGTTGATTTTTAAACAACCATCTTCCAACATGAAATGTTAGTGAACTCACACTTGCTCGACTTGGCTACGCAAGAAACAAAGGGCTCATCGTACGTTTTAGAGACATTTTGTGTAGCAACTATCGACTGAATCATTTGGATAAAATTACATGGAAATTATAATGAAAATGAGTAGTGAATTCCACAAAATGTGTGGAAAGTGATTTTATCCAAAATGTGATTGAAAATGAATTTGAAAAAAACAAAAACAAAAAATTAGACGAATTAAGGCCGAACTGACCTTCTTTCACCTAGCAATGTGAAATTATAAAATAATATATGTTGAAAAATAAGGGGTTGGAGAAGAAACAACAACAAAATTATGGAAACAAAATGAATAGAACTCACGAAATAGGTCAAAAATGAATTTGAGGCTTGAACACGGGATCGTTGTCCTCAAACTATATTTGCCCCCTCTCCAAATGCTTAAGGGTATTATGGCAAATGGTTTGAAGGATTTTAACAAGCCTTAGGGTTGGCTCGGCTCGTGCTCGTGGCGAGCCGAGCTCAGGCTGGGCTCGTTGAAATTGGGCGAGCTCGTGGGCCGAGCCGAGCTTCGGCTCGTGGGCTCGCCTAAATTTTTTTTTTTTTATATATATATAGAAAATAAAGAATAGAGTTTTAAAAATAAAAAGTGTTAAAAAATACAAATAATTTAACGAAAATAAATTTTTTTTATTTATATTATATTGTAATTTGTAATATTTTTATAAGGTATAACCGTATAAAATATTTATATAATGAAAACGATTTTTTTTTTGAAATACATTTACAAAAAATATTTTTTTGATTTCTTTTTAAAGTTAATAAAGAATAGAGTTTTAAAAATAAAAAGTGTTAAAAAATACAAATAATTTAACGAGAACAAGTTTTTATTTTTTTTATTTACATCATATTGTAATTTGTAATACTTTTTATAAAGTATAAAATATTTATATAATGAAAATGAATTATTTTTTGAAATACATTTACAAAAAATATAATTTTTTGATTTCTTTTTAAAGTTAATAAAATATAAACCCTCCTCCTTTATCCTGGCTTGGGACCGGTTATATCAATTTTAAGTAGGCGGAGTTAAAAATTGTACACGAACAATTTGTTGTAACGTGTACAATTTTTAAAAAAAATTAAATTTAACGATTAAAAAATAAATAAAAATTTTGATTAATATAATTAAATTAAATATCACTTACCTAACGACATGCAATTTCAGCGTATTTATCTTGTAGCCGAAAATGAGCGTCCTGCCAATCCTTCACACACATTAACGCTTCCAAAACATCTTCTTTCAGTCGGCTCCTGACATCAGTCAAAACCCTTTTACCAGCACTAAAAGCAGACTCCGAAACAACAGTGCTAACCAGAGGTGTCGATAGATCTTTCGCAATTACAGAAACAATTGGCCAACGTCTTTCATACTTTCACCAGAATTCAATTACTTCTTCTGAAATTTTTTTAATTGTTCTGTCTGTTGGCATATTATGATTGAAATAATCAATTAATTCGACAGGCATCGCATTTTGAGTTTCGGTCGATGTTTGATGAGATGTAGATGTAGACGACATGGCACTAGATGTACACATTGCAGTTGCATCATATCTAAATGTATTAATGCCCTGAAATAAATTTATTATTTCCGCAGCATCTTCTTCAGTTTCAGCAGAAGGAGTAGGTGCAGTAGAGGGTACCCGACTAACATTTGCACCCATTCTTTCCGCATATAAATCATACATTCCACATAATGTTTGCTCTAAATTCTTATAGGTGATAAGTGTATCAAGTATTAAAGCTTTATTGATTTGATCAATTACGTATTTAGTTCCCGAAATATTATATCGAGGGTCTATTGCGCATGCTAAAGGAAATAATATAGGCAGTCCTTCCCAATATTTTCTAAACTTTAATTCCATAACAATTAAAATTTCACTAAAAGCAGGATCATTTTTATATTTATGGAATGTTCTTGCAATTATATAAAGGCGTTCAAGCACCATACAACTTGTGGGATAATAAACGCCGGATAAAATCTTTGTAGTCTCATAAAAAGATGTCGAAAATCGTTTAACTTTCAAAGCTAAAATCCAATCGGATTCATTTAACATACCATCATCATCACTTTTAACATGTCTCTTATTATAAAAATCAGTTATTAAACTTTCGAAACCTTCACATGATTTTAATAGTAAGTATATAGAGTTTCATCTATGACCTACGTCGCTAACAAATATTTTAGCAGTCATCACCCCTAATTCGGCAAAAAAATCTTCAAATGATTGTTTTCTACTAGGAGAGATCGTAATATAAACTAATGTATTTCTAATCCTTTGAAATTCATCCTTTATATGTTTTAAACCATCTTACACAATTAAATTCAAGATATGACACACACAACGAATATGAAACAAATACCCACCAAAATCATGTTGAAGTGCCCTACACAATTTATCGACGACTACCTTATTAACGCTAGCATTATCAAAAGTAAAAGATCGAATTTTACTCTCACAATGATATTCTCTAACAATACTGATAATAGTATTATATATATTATTAGCATTGTGAGGAAATTCAATAATTCTAAAACCAATAATTTTCTTATGCATGCACCAAAGTGGGTCTATATAGTGTGCGGTTGCAGCTATATATGCTCTTTTATTAACCACTTCCCATATATCAGAAGTTAAGGATATAACACCCCCATATTGTTGCAAATCCATAATTAATTATTGTTTTGAATTATTGAAATAATTTATTGTATCGGCACGAAGAGTGTTTCGACTTACCCCAACGTACCTCGGTTGTAGATATTCTTTTACGAACGAGACGAAGTGTTGGTTGTCTGCAATAGCCAGAGGCAACTCAGTGGCGGCAACAAATTTCACCATTCCAATTCGAGTCTCGTCCTCCGAATACAGCCACGTGGATAGAGGTGAAGTTGTAGAACCGACGCCTGGACTGCCAAATTGTAATTGTGTTTGACTAACTGGAAGAAGTCCATGTCTGGCTGCACATGATTTGTAGTGGCGGTTGAAATTAGTGGTACCAATTCCTTTTTGCCATGCCAATCTTTGTTGGTAGTATTTACATACTGCTTTAGATTCTGCAAGGCCATCAACGACTTTTCCCATTGAAATCAACTTAAAGTGATCCCAACATTTTGCTTGTTTTTTGGCCTTTCGCTTTCCCCTCGCATCTGGGATATTTAATTGCTGATCTTCATCTTCATGTTCCGCTTCGGGAACGTTAATATCATCCAAATCAATTGGAATGTGGCTTCCCTGACCGTGAATGTTAACATCTTCAAGTATCGGTATGTCATTTAGACCGGCAAATTCATTTGGAAATTGACTTTGCGGCGTATTAGGCGATTCTCCATGATGTGGCAATGGCTCACATCCTGTATCGAACAAGCTCTCAACAAATGAACGTTGATCCATTTCTGTGATTGTTTATGATGAAATTTTGATTAGATGAATATAAATGTAGTGAGATTGTGAGAATTTGATGAATTGAAATTGTAACTAATAAACTGGAAAAATTGAATTGATATTGTATATTTTGCAGCACAAGAGAGTAAAAACTCGATAATTGATATAATAAAAGATAGTTGAGACTTGAGAGAGTTGTAATCTTGGAAGAGATTGATATGAAAAAAAATTTTTGGGGGAAGGGGGTATTTATAGTAAAAAAATAGGGGGGTGGGGAAAGAAAAAAAAAGTTCAGTGACCGTTTGGTCACTAAACAAAAGTTCAGTGACCGTGGGTCACTGAACAGGCTCGACAAGCCACGAGCCGCTTGGCTCATCTACACGGCGAGCAGAGTGGGCTCGGCTCGTGCTCGGGCTCGTGATTTCACGAGCCCGAGCTGCCCACGAGCCCATTTTTCACGAGCCGAGCCGACGAGCCGGCTCGGCCCAATTGACATCCCTAACAAGCCTTGATGCAGAAAATAACAAAACACGAGAAATTTTTCGTCAAAACTTGATAAACACAATAAAGAAGAAATGAATATGAGTTATAGCATGGATTTGATTAATTGTGGAACAATGTATGTATTTCTTGTTTGTAATATATATAGTTTGTACTGGTCATTCATCACCTATTTATAGGCCTCAATCAATACATCACGAAACGGTGCCAAAACAAGATGAAAAGTGACAACTTTTAATCCAAAATAGCTCCCAACTTTCAAATTGAAAAATCAGCCAACGACTATTTTTTAACAATATACGTACGCGTAGTATAAACCGTGCGTAGTAGAAGCAAAATCAATTCTGATTTTGAAAAAGCACATCTCACGTACGCAAAAAAAATAACCATGTGCATACGCATAGGCAAAAATCAAAATTTTTATTTTTCAATTTCTTTTGATTCTACCAATTCCACAATTGAATCCAACAATTAGTCCATTATCATTCCATTGATTTTGAACAAACATTCGTAGTTAAGAAATCTTATGATAAATCATTTCAAAAAGAAAAAAATTAATAGTTCTAAGCTATGTGGCTGCACAAGCTCTGTGCTGATTGGCCCATGAAACCCACGAGCCTAATTAGTGGGTCGAGGTCTTTTTTAGACAAGCCAAGCTTGGCTCAAATCGACCCATTACCACCATATTCATAAAAGGGGAAAAAATTTATTTCTAAGAAGGTAAGTATACCCATTTTCCAAAATTAAGAATAAAGGTTTAAAGTTTCAAAAATCATATTTTTTAAATTTTATTTATTAATTAAATTATTAAATATATATTTTATTAATTAAATATATTTATGTCACAATTTTTAGTCACAGCTATCTAATTAATTAGTCACGGATTAATTTTTAGTCACAACTTATCAAATTATTCTACGCAACTTATTTCTCGGTCACAAATCGAAAATTTTATAGGTTACAAAATATTTTTCGATCACGAATTCAAAAATTTTATAGTTCATAGATTATTCATCGGTCACAGATTCAAAACTTTTATTGATCACTACTTATTTGCTCATTGTAAATTATTGGATTAATTGATCACGATAATTTTTCGATCACAACTTAATCAATCATGAGTCACAACTGAGAGTCACAATCACAATTTTTCTGTTACGTATCCAAATGTGAGTCAATTCACAATTGGGAGTCAGTCACGATCACAATTCTCATCGCCATCGTTGTCGTCGCCACCTGCCACACACCAACACCACAATTGGAAGTCACAATCACAGTCTACAGAAACACCAGATTCGTCGAGAGCCACCACCACAGCACATCAAACAACCCACCGCAACACTTTAAACAAACCACCACCACCCTTTGAATATTGCTAGCGAACTCCCACCGCCAAATCAGCCACCGACCACAACACCACCACAACACAAACACCGTCGTCACCACCAAACAAAATCCACGATCGCCACAGATCGGGGGATTTGTAGCGCACCACACTACTACACAAAATCTACCACGCTGCAATGATCGCAACGCACCACCACCACACAAAATCCACAATGCTGCAATGAAATGGGAATTTGCAGTGTACCACTACCACACCACCATCGTCGCACACACCACCACAGCCTCAAGCCACCTCCGCCGCACACACATCCCCACACCCACGTACACACACATACCCATCTCGCAACAGTGGTGCGAGCTGCGCTATCGGCAAAGATGGAGAGGAGAGGAATCGTCGCGATCTGCACAGGGTGTCGCCATATCCACCACGCCACGTCGTCGTGATCTACACCGCATTTCGTTACAGTGGTGAGAGCTTTGTCGTCGGCAGAGATAAAGGAGAGAAGAGAGTGACGATGAAAGAAGAGAGAGAGAGGGATGGTGAGAGACGATTTAGAGAGAGAAAATAATGGAAAGATATAAATTAGAGTTTGTGGTTGAAATTGTGTGTTTTAATTTATTAAAAACATCTGATTTTTGAATAAACAAACATTGGGCCTAATTTGTGAAGTTGGGATTTTGAACATAGGGAAGGATGTAATTTCCACTTCATAAAATTACATGAAATACAAACTAGTGACATGTTCGAGTCATATTTTCTATATTAGGTATCTATGCAATTGGTGGCAAAATTTTGTTTGGAGAAATATAGACTCCCCCAAGCCGTTGAGTGGTTTCTTGATTATTTGTTTATTTGTCAACTTAAAAGGAAGATCTAACCTAGTATATGTTCATAAATTAAGTGCTTTAAGTTTTTCTTTGAATTGTTCAAATAATAAAGAGAACTACGAATTGAAAATCGATCGAACCAAGGTTTCTGCCTTGCTACATGTTGCAATCCACTCGAGCAGTCTATACATTTTTGGGATGAGGTGAGGTGGAAGATGAATTGCGTTTTTCTTAATTTTATTACATTCTTGTATTTTTATTTATTTAAAGACAGTGACATAAATGTCCTTTTAATGATATTTCAGCTTCTTATTTAAAGAGAATGGCCACATGGCATCATGTCATTGGGCACCAGGGTGAAAATTTCATTTTAGAATGAAGGGTCTCATTCGGCTCCTTTATAAAAGATAAGTAAATTTCTATATCTAAGATGTGAACAAAATTCTACCCATAACCCGATAGGAAAGTAGTACCGTGAGGCAAGGTTGAAAAGAACCCCAATCGGGGAGTGAAATAGAATATGAAACTGTCCAATAATTATTGCAAGTTTTAAGGTAGAAACGTTACAAAATAATGGTTGGGATAAGATTGCAATGAGGGTAAAAGGTTGGGGATCATTGGCATAATATACCCTTAAAAAGTGAGACATAACTTAAAAGCAAGAATTGTTGAATCAAGAAAACACATCCAAGGCAAAACATTTCAAGGGATGAGACAATATTATGCATATATAGCTTCTAGTAATACTTTTTAACGTCTTCCAGATGCCACTGATTCAGTAGAGAAGAGGTATTTCACGCGGGAAAGAACAGAGTCGTGTGCAGGATCGTAAGGATGATCTTTGGAAGGTATCTCCAGAATTGCTGGTATTGGTTTGTTATAGCTATCTACTAAGAACCTTATCTTGTTTGCAACCTGAAAATCAACGTACATGTGGCAAATAAATGAAGAGAAAGTACATATAACTGTTGAAATGAACATATGTAAGTATTTGACCTTATGTTGTGCTATTGGGAAATTACAACTTGTCGATTTATTTTTAAAATGTTCGACAACAAGGCAAAGTGTTTCAATAATCACTCCTCTTATGATGATTTCACCAACAGAAGCAATGACTAACTCTCAAACATAGTCATGTCAAATTATGCAAGTCTGACTAAGTATCCCTTATCTCCCAAGGCTGTAGGCACATGGTGGTACCATATTCTCAAAATAATTTTCTTTGTAAACAAATTATAGATCAGGATTTATATAACATGCTCAGAAAGTGAAATAATAGCTTACATATTGGCTGATTAACACTATTGCAATATCTTCTCTTGTTGTGAATTCTTTGAATGCCTCTTCGATCTGTTTCATTGTTGTTTCTAAACCAAAACCAGGAATCCTCAACGAGTCAATGAATAAAAGTATTAGAAATAACAAGAAAAACTGATATAAGATACTCGCACACTGATAACTTGTTAGCTTTCATCACATAAGTGATTGTTAGTTTTCAATACGATGTAATATATCATGTTTAAGTCTTCAACATAATAGAATAATCCCACCTAGAATTTGATGATGTTTAGACTTTCAACGAAAAAAATACAATAATCATGGAAACCAAATTGTGCAATATACATGAGACTGTCGCTATTAACTTTAAGCTCTCTAAACAAACATGTTAGGCCAACCATCGCAGGAAGTAGTTTTGCTACAGATAGCATGTTATTTGTTATTCCATGTTGCAGAAAGGCGACTAAAGGGTGCATTATATCCATCACAACACCAGAAGATGGCAAGACACAACGAGCACAACTTGAAAAGTTATAATGAATATCTTTATTATACTCGGTTAATGTATGTTGTCTAAAAACATTTATTAAAGTTAAAAAACAAGCGGCTTGTGATGAACAAACGGTGAGAAATATTATCCTAACAACATAAATGAATTGACGAGTCATTTTTTCTTATTCTTGCATACATTCCCTATAAACTAATTCAGTTTGGATCTGTTGGCTATATAATTCAGTACTTGACAAGGCATCATGATTGCAAGGCGAATCATATTATTCCAGGAAACCACAATTTTCCAGGACGAATGGTTTAATCCAACAACTCAACAGATTTCACTTGGAGCATCGGGCATCAGCACTAAAACAAAAGGTAAACAAATTTCTTCATTTTCAAGCAAGTTTCATAAAGATGGTAAATTTTCAGAAATATAAGGCTCAAAGCATACTTGAGTCCACAATGAGGTAATTAGTCTTCCTCCTCAAATCAACATTGCCAACTCCAGCCAGCAAAAATCCAGTAATTGTATCCTACATTAATAAGTAATTTCACCGATAAAATTTGAAAGAAGGCTAATGATGTGGATCAAGTGTCAATTTCAAAACAATAAAAAAAATGAGTATGCACATTTATATCATAACAAAAAAAGTTATAGACTTCACTAATATGAGAAAAGAGTATATTTTAAAAGAAGATCGAATTAAAATTCTAAGAGCAGAGTCCTGCCTGATCCCTCAACGCTTTAGTTTCTGTATCCTCATGATAAATAGGCAAGACATGAATTTCTGAGTTTGGACAGTCATAAAGTTAACTGTGATGCTTTTTAATGACGGTCAGCAATGGTTCTAATTCATGTTATCGTGAAATCAAATGAATTCTAGGGGTCAAAGATGGATCAGTGTCAAGGTCGTGTCACCGTGCATCACCATCATAATGAACAATATATTTCAAGCTTTATTCTGACCAATCCATCTGAAGTCGAGGGAAATGAGAGATCTAGCTCAAATCCACGAATTTACAATCAATTCAAATGGGGGGTCTGTAAATTGAACTATGTGGCATTCTTTCTCAAAGAAATTTGTGCATCAATATTAAGGAAAATGCCTATTCCGGTGTAGAAACATATGCAAACCACTGGCACAAGGAAAATTGTGATATAATGCAGGAAAATGACAGGCTCATGAATGATAGCATAAAGCCTTATTAATTATTTGCTATTTCATACAGATCTTCCAGATAATAGAACACTGAAAATTGATTCAATAGTCAACTACAGGATGTAATAAAATTCAATAATTGTAACACAAAATGTTAATAATTAACATGAATTCAGCTCGATTCAGATAGTTAAAAGCAGTAGTAACCCAAAATATAATACAATTACCTCGTCGGCGATCATAGCAATGAATGCTGAACTGTTTGTGCGAATCTGAACTCTGTTCGCCATTTATATAATAAGCAACAATAACTTCAGCAAATTCGGAAGAAAAAAAAGTAGCTTCCAAAGGATTGAACAGGGATCTGAACCGTGAGATATCTGTGAAAGGATTGATTTTGATAGTTTAAACGGGCATCTAAATCGTGATTGTTGATATTAAAAGAAAAAAGGTCAATTTGGTCTTACGCCCTCAAGGAAAGTAATTGTTCCAGTATGGCCCTCGACATTTGTTAATTCAAATCCAAATAACTGTTATATTTAGAGCCCGTTTGGAATGGCTTTTAAAAAGTCAAAATGAGCTTTTGGACTCGTTTGGCTAATTTTGTTAAAGTATTTTTGATGATTAGAAGAGTTTTTAGAGGAAGTTGGTTCAATGTGGATTCTTCTAAAAGCACTTCCGAAATAAAAAATACTTTTAAATATCAATTTTCAAACAAAAATTAAAAGAGTTTAAAGGCCCGTTTGGCACGGCTTTTACTTTGGCTTTTGCTTCTTGTAGAAGAGTTTTTGGAGAAAGCTATTTTAATTTTTGTTTGAAAATTAATATTTAAAATCACTTCTCATTCCGGAAGTGCTTTTGGAGGAAGCCAAAAAAACCAGCTTCCTCTAAAAGCTCTTCTAACCTCCAAAAGCACTTTAAACAAAAATAGCCAAACGGTCCAAAAGCGACTTTTGACTCTCAAAAGCTCCTTTTGGCTTTTCAAAAACCATCCCAAACGGACCCTAAATTAAAATAACTTCCTCCAAAAGCTTTTTTACAAGAAGCAAAAGCTACACAAAACGGACCCGTACTTATTCTAGGAAGTCGCCTATCAAGAAAACGGAATCCAGTCATTTCCTTTTAGTCACTTGTCGCTCCTTATACCAAGATGCTTTTCCAATGTATCAGTTAGATCATAGATGGTTTTATTACTCTCCCTATTGCTATGGGCTAATTGGTGAACAATAAACGAATAAAGAACCTTGGAATGGTTGTCACGCCTAATTCGACTCACCATTATTAGGCATTCTTTGTCTTTGCAATACCTTAGTTCCTCAACCAAATAGGTGCCAATCTTCTTCGTCTGGCCGCAATGAATCAATATGGATCAAATAATCCATTGGATGTACATTCAAATATGGATAAAATTGTTTCTTACCCTCATTTTATTTAAAGGATCCATGCTGTCGCCAAAAGCATATCATGGTATTTTTTTTTAAAGAGAATCTTCTAAATTTCTAATTGTTCCAGAGTAACTACAAAGAGATTCTTTAATAAAAAAGAATTCGCTTCGGATGTAGGATATGATAGTTTCAAATGCATATATTTTCTTTTTAAAAATTATAGAGATGAGCTCTAAAGTTTATTTTGAGCAACTGACTCTTTCTTCGATAGTTTTTATCTTTTGAAAAATGTTTGTTATATTGTCACTATTTACATAATCTTTTAAAAATTGATAATGTATCAAAAAGAAAGTGAAAAAGCGCTTTTCCTTTTTTTTTTTTTTATTTGATTGATAAGATTTTGATTCATTCAAATCTCCCACATCCTCTGTTGGTTAACAAATCTATAAATTACATATAACACAACAATTATCTTTATGGTTTTTCTAAAAATATATAACAACTCCGTCACATAAAGATATGCTTACTTTCATTTCTTATTTGCCCCAAATTATAAACTACCTTCCTCATTAAGAATATAATCAATGTCCTAATTTTCAAATATATTCCTATTTATCATGCATTGTTATCAACACATAAATTTAGGAGTATATTAAAGCCCCGTTTGAAAAGGATTAAAATCAGATTTTTAGTATATTTTCATTAAAATTGATGAGATATGTTGTTGAGAAGTCATAGGTCACATAAAATGTGTCGTTTATATTAATTGTTAAATTTGATTTAGATTTTAATTTCTACCAAACGAAGCTAAAAGTTTATCTAGATAATTTATAATTCAAACATATATTAATTAAGTTTTCTTAATATATGTAAAAAAAATAGAAATAAGTATAGGGCTGAACATGATTTGGTTCGATTCGGTTCTAAATCAGTTCGATTCTAAAAGAAAATTGATTCGAACATCGAAATTTCGAGTATTTAGTAAGTGGAACCGTCAGATCCAAACTTAATTATGGAATTGTTCAAGTTCAATTTCATTTGGTTCGTTCGAATCCCGAGTTCCGTACAATAACTAATTTTTTTATATTCACAACACTACATAAATTCAACTACAATATATTCAATCTTAACTCTTATAAAATAACATAGTTTAATCTTGTGATATTTTTGCACCTCTTCGTTGATTATTCATATATTTGACTGTCAAAATTACAAGAATAGTAAAATAGCGAGCTCACAATAATTAAAAAAAATGCAATCAAACTTCCAATTCAATTTCTCCAATATGACAAAAAAAAATGGTAAAATAAGATATTTAAGTAAAACTTAAATCAATTTGACTAAATTGGATTTAATTGAAAATTAGAAATAAAAAAAATTATATTTTAATCTTAGACCAATTAATTAGCATATTTATTTAAAAATTAATAATTTGATTTATTTAAAGTTTAAAAAATTAAGGATATTCAATTCTTTAATTATTGGTCTAAAACCGAGAACCGAACCAAATTCGTAGATTCTCGATTCAAATAAACATTTAAGTATTTAACTTAAGACGAATCATTCAGCTCGATTCAATTCAGTTCGAATCTTGTTAGATTTAATTTGCTTCGAAATTTTTATCCAGCCCTAAACAAGCATAGTTTTATAAAAGAGAGAGAATACATTAATATATTCTACACTTAAAAACTGTCGTAGAAAAAAATAAAGTAAATAATAGTGAAATTGCGGAGGATGGATTATTGAATTTATTAAAATATATTTTTCTAAATCCAATACCTTTTTTATTCCTGGAAACACAACCGATTTTCGATTTGCCATAAGATTTTTCTCTCATCTACTTCTATCATTCGAGAGTTTGCATCCAAACTAGTACAATCTCGCTTAAATAAGCTAATGGCACCATCTATAGAACTAGCAAGATTACCACACAGATATTCAACACTCCTCCCCCCATGCCGTCGAATCACTACAACTTATCCAATATTCTGCAACTAACAAACTACCGAAGACAGATAACCCATTTCCTCGACTGTTTTCCCATATTGTTTCCTTGCACCTAAACCAATATAAATTTAGCAATACACGAGGCACAAGAAACGTGCCACGAGTTTAGGATTCTTGAAATTCTCCATGGAAGCACCAAGTGATTATGGCTGAATCTTGATGCCAGATTGGAGACCGGCTTGAACTTTGCTTGAGAAATGTGCATCTACCCTGCAAGCCCATAAGAAGACAGAAATAATGTTCAATAGATAAAGAAATAGATAAACAGAAAAGATAGGGAAGTGAAGTGAAACTTGAAAGCGTCAAAAAGTGGGTTCATATCATGCCTAGTTGCACATTTATAGTAAATAGTGTCCGGGGAGTTGTAGGTCTTTGCATTAGAAAACATTCTCCTGACATCTGCCACAAACATCTCAAAAGTCACATAGTACTGCTCCGACTCCACTCGCCGTGACATTGTTTTCAAATCTGCAGGCATATTAAAGCATCAGAATGATAAAGCAACATAAAAATCCAGGTTATGTTGTTCATAAAGTGAAGGTGAAACATATGCTAACATCAATCCCATCAAGGAAAAAAATTATAACCAATAAGTAAATTCAAGGGTGTTTTTTATTATTATTATTATTATTATTATTATTATTATTATTATTATTATTTTAGAGGATGAAGCATGTTCTAACAGTATCCCATTTACTCAGATTTAAGAACTTGTCTTGCTATTTTGTTCGACAATAATAGTGGACAGCCATGTAACCTTTATACATGCAACACTACAAGAAATATTATGGTAGGCAACTTCAATTAGTCTCCATTTAGCAAAATTTATAAATCATTTCTAAATTTTCAATTTTCGTTTTTATTTTCACACACAAGTATAAACTAAACCCTTTATATATTCTTCCCGAACGGAGGTTTAATGTCCAGTGCCAGTCCCATACTATCTGGGGTTGGAAACAAAAGTTTCACCATTCAAGTCCATCTACTGTAATTGTACTGATTACAGTCCTGTAGCCCACAGTCAAATAGTCGATATTTTATTATTTTATACGAGAATAAACTCGCACCCAAAATTAGTATTCTGTTATCCACTAATCTTATTAAATTTTCATGCCTCTTGAGCAGTTATAAGGGTACATGCCTTCATGTAGGTTTTTTGCCCCATGCCCATCCCCTTTTATTTTCACAAAATTTTGGAAATACCAGCCACTGATTGCATAAGAAGCATGTCACTATGAGCCATAATCATGTATAAAATCTATGGGCAGATTGTAATGAGGTGGACAGATTTTGAACCACCAGGAGAACTCCCTAGCATTTAAGGAAAAATATTATTTGTTCAACTTCTTTTGATAATGAAGCGATCCATTTAAGTTGACTGATGAGAATTATACCAATTGGATCTTTGATGATGACATAGTAATCAGGCACATCTCTCGCATCAACTGGTTCCTTGAATGGCCAAGCATCTGGGTGGTCATGCATTGCCTGCTCAAATAGGAAGTATCAGTAAAGCAGCAGGATTGCAGATATAACTGAAAGCATGATCTATAAAGCAAGTCATAATTGAACTTCCTGGGGGACCGTGACCATCGAAAAAAGACCAAAGAAATTGAATCTGTATTAAATGCCAATAAGACACATGAGCTTTGAGATGGTTTTGCAACCAAGTATAGACCAGTACGAAGCCAGCCCCTGCCAGGTGTGCATATAACAGAAAGAAAGCTCCACCCATCGTGGAGGTATGATATATGATAATTAAAGAAAATCATCAAAAAACTTTAATGACACGGCAAACCAACTTTTAATGAGGAGACTACAAATTCACAATGGGGACTGCCAATTAATCAACTCTGAGCATAAATTCCATACAAGAACTCTCACATAAACATGTTCTACTTCTACTTACAGTTACATTTCCAGTTTTTCGTCATTATCAAATCACGTTTTAGTTCCACTTCAATAAATGATTTGCAACACTTGTGTGATTCAGGGGAGGAGGTTCATCCTCATAGAAATGAATGAAATAGTAGTAATCTTAAATAAGAATCTTAATAGACTTACCTTCAGGAGTGAGCGCATGAATGCAGTCAATGATTTCTGATTTGAGGCACCATCTAATGATGGATTTGTTGTTTTAAACCGAGAATGACCATATTGTTCAGGGGTCCATCCTGCCTCTCCTATTATTAAATCACAGCCAAGTTCAAAATTAGGATGCTAAAAGCAGAGGGCCAACTTGGAGCCACAATTTGAAAATAGGAAAATGGAAAAAAATTTAAACGCTAAGTCTAGCTTGAAATTCTCTAACCATACAAGTTGGACTAGCCAAACTGTATCAACCAGCTCGTGGCTCGTGGAACTTGATTGTTGGCCTAACCAAGCGTTTTAGATTCAATGTGCACCTTTGTGCAAGGAATGCTTAGAGAAGTTGGATGCGTCAAAGAGGAGGTAAAGAAGAATAAAAGTAGACCATACTGGCCACAACTTCTACAACACTTGAATGATAATCAGAGGCAAAAATATATAAGCATACCGAGATCACAAGAAGGACCAACATTCCAAATCAAACATATAAGCATACCAAAAATATGAAAAGGTGCTTTCTTCTGGTAGAATTTTACAGTAATACAAGAATGAACTTCTTACTCAAGCCAGGTATATCGTCGACCTTGATGGATAGTTTGGGAACACCAGCTTCTTTCTGAATGAAACAGTTCATATCAGTATTATGCTTGAAACTTGCCCCTTTTCTTTTTCTCTTTGAATTCAGTATTTCGACATGTATTGAATGACATAGTGAAGTTGAAAGTATACAAGCGCTAGATTAAGACAAACAGTGTCATATACAAAACTTGCACTGCATGTGCACCATAAGAGATTATCATTTCCAACTAGAAGAAGGTAAAAACAAACAAAAGAAACATTTTTATGCAATTATGGTTTTTTCTCTTCATTTTCAATTTAAGGTAAAGAAAGGAGCTAAAATCACATTATCATCTCTTAATTACTGAAGATCAGCATCATGTGGCATAGTTTGCACGAATCAACAGAAATCTATTTTTTTTTTAATCAAATATTTTATTAGTCAATGTATAATACACAGAAAGTATACTATCAATTTAAACCAGAAAGGAACAACAAGAAATTGGGCAGCCGTCTATATGCCTAGTAGCCGTAGCCTTAAACCAATGAATCAACAGAAATCTTATTAGAAAAGAAATCTTTCATCAAGAACTCACTTTTATGTACAAAGTACAAGTCAATTCAAATTCAGATGTTCATTATCAAGATGGTTGACCTAAAAGATTAAATCATGACATCATGTTGTACCCATGTCATGTGTCTGGTCAACCATTATCTTGATAAGAATGGGGGTTTTATAGGAAAATTATGTCAACATGGTTGGCATATCTCATAACTGGAACTAGCAAAGTTCAAAACAAGATGTTCATAATAATACGACAACTCAACCTTGAATATTGCAAAAAATAATAATAAAAAATAAATAAAGAAAAAAGTTAGAAAGAGATCTTATCTTATTTGGGGATTGGTAAGTAAATATTCATATGCAATCGCTAGCAATTATCATGCCAAACATGACTGATTTTTCATTGCAGATGGTTTTCATAGTTCGATCTTGGATCATAAAACAAACTCTATAAGCCAAATCTCAAGACTGCAACTACAGCTGAGACCAGAGTAAACAGGAAGCAGAATCTCTTTCCTTTACAAATGAGAAATTTCAAATCGACATATGTTAAGAAACTTTTTTCTTCGGAATCAAGATAATGCTTAAGGACCATTTAGAAATATTTCTTTAGATCAGATGAAAGATTTCCGCAATGTTGGAAGAAAAGAACGGTAGATACTGTCACAGGACAAGCTAATTGAAAAACTGAGGACGTCTTAATGGCTCAGATAAAACAGAACATGTTATTCAACTCAGTTTCCACTCAAAATAAGCCAACTTGTCAGACAGAATGAAAATAATAACACCAAAGATGGCATTAATCTGAAGCTGATAGCCAACAGGAGGATTCAGTAACTCACATAACACCTTAGAATAAAAGTTAAGTGGGTGCATATACCTTCTGAAAATCAATTCCAGGGTAGACAATGTGACAATTTGAGAGCTCCTTAATCTTTTCATCAATTGCCTAGCAATCAAAGACAATATGAAACAAAATTGCAATCATGCTGAGCACGTAATTTGGATTAAATTAGAAACTTTAGTTAATCAATAACATCGTTTCCTCTAGTCTCAAACAGCATGAACTACTTAAATAAGCAACTAATCATCCTACCTGCCTTTGGCAGCGAATCATAGTTGATAAATCAGTATATGGAAGTTTTGGATCAATTTTACATTCCATCAGGATTCCTCCATCATAATCTTTAATATAGCTGAAGAAAAAGGAAACTCTGCTTATAGTCAAATTGGTGAAACTGGAATTTAGATAGCAAACAATCCCAGGTAACAAGTATCTGCTGTTGTCCCATATAATACAAGGTCTCAATTCAGCCATGCCCATTAAAAATAGTTTTCTTGGGGAAAATGAGTTTTTGAATACTGATTTTTGGAGAGAGTGGTTAAAAAGTACGAAAAACTTTTGAATTTACGTGCAAAATATTTTATTGCGAGAATGTGTGGTTGAAAATTAATTTTAGAAGAAAAGAGTTTTTGAAGAATGGTAGACTAACAGGGGCTCAGTGCTTTGAATAAAGGAATCACAATAGAAAAATACAGGAAGGCAAATGAGGATTGTTTCGTTCAATCCATGAGTAATACCATGATTTGAGATTTCAGAATCAATAAAATTGATAATTAACGTACCCATGCCACCGTTCTTTGTCCAAGAAAATTTCTTTTGTAAATCCCTAAAAATCAATTCAAGAAAGTTAGAGGCAGCTCAGACAAAACCACATTACAACTAAAACAGGCTCTACAAATAATAAAAAAAATTGACAATCGCAGGCTCTACAAATAATAATAACTATATTCAAAAAGAATAGATAAGAAGCCAAGAATGACACGACAATTAGAAAGATCCTGCTAAGCATAGTGTGAAAGTTACACATCTAGAAACCTCCCATCCCTGGGTTTCCCTAGTCTCCTTTTGGATAATTTTAAGCTTTCACCAGTTAAGCCTTGGTGTATTAAATAAAAGCTAAGCTCGTCTGATAAATCACATGAACAAACAATGAACACCCTGTAGGCAAAAATGAAGAGAAAGAAAGGTTATTTACTTATGTTAAGGTTCCAAACTTTTCGTCCTACTCCCACTTTGGCTAAACGATGAGATCATAAAATATCACATAAGCTTTCCTCACCAGGCACATAAGCTTTCCTCACCAGGTCATTATCACAACGTTTATCAAAAACTTCAACAAACGTATTATGTAGAGATATTACATGCAACATAAAAATTGGAATCCTTCTTAAATATATTCATCATCATAAACATCATTGCGTAATTCAATCAATGTGTGTATAAACTCGAGTTAGTGGAGGTTCATAAGTCTCATCCTGTTAATTTAATAATGTGCAAAAATGGAAGATTTTATGGGTCTACCATTCATCTTCCTTTTCAAGAGAGTGTCAAAGATTAACAAAAAGAGATTGCAATTATGTCTCTTTCTGCCAGGGCAGATTTACAATTTTTTGTTTCCCTTTCTCCTCTCATCTTTTTCACAAAGTTGGATAAAGAATTGGTAAAGATGATTACTTGGAGCCTGATGAAAAATAATGATAATTAATATAGTGCGTTAGACTATCAAATAGCAGAGTGATGTTAAGCTGATCATCCAATTAGCCCAAAAATAATGAATATTTCATGCATAGAATGAAATGTAAAACCTGCTTGACAAAGTAACCAACAGCATTGTTGTCAGCATATGTGAGAAAATGTGTTAGACCATCCACATCACGTGCATGCTGTTTTAGATGATTCATCAGCCGGGTTCCATAGCCCTTAACTTGTTCATCAGCCATAATTGCACAAAATGCTATCTCCCCAAATTTTTGGCTACAGATTTTCAAGTTCAGCATCACAGAGTGTAAGAGCATATTATCCAAACAACACAAATATCCATAGGATGCCAAAGAGTCTATTCTTTTCTTTCTCACATTTATTATACCATGAATAGTAATTAAAAAAAATGAGGAGTGAATAATCGAATGATTCATAATGGCATATATTACCTGACATAAGGCCGGTAAGTAATCCCACCAACAACCTGATTACGTCTGATTACCATCACGGATTTATGGTTTCTACACCAGATGGAACAAAATAAGAAAATGAGAAGATTAAAAGTGTGTGACATGTCATGGAAAGCAGATATTTGTGATTTGCATGCATCATATTTCTGGAGAATTATGTATTGAGAAGAACTACTTCCGTTTCCGCACCGCTATACCAGAAATTTGGATAAGTAAAAACTGGCTTTTAATTATAGAACCAACGAAACACCTCCAACAAAGAATCAGCACATTTATATGAACAGAGAGATCTTTCCATGATAGATGTCAGAAATTCAAACTTTATTAACTTAGTACAGATTAGTATGATCTTTGGAAGCTACGAAAAAGTAGCAGAATGATGATATACAAGGGGTTCTTTCACTTGCTTTTGTAAGCTGATTAATTTATTAGACAAGGAACCATATACCTAGGGGTGGGCGCGGGTCGGTTCGGTTCTAAAGAGAACCGAACCGAACCAAAATTTTCAGGTATTTAGTAAATGGAACCGTCGGGTCCAAATATAATTATGGAACCGTTCGGGTTCGGTTCCGTTCGGTTCGGTTCGATTCGGTACTATAATTAAATTTTTTAACATTTATAACAACATTACATAAATACAACTAATAACATATTCAATGGTTTTGAAACTTCAGAGACTAGTAGACTACCTTGTTCAAATGATTGCTACGATCAAAATTTCGGTTGGCGGAGGTCACAGCTTCGATCGTAGGTCACAACGTCGGTCGACGATTGTATAGGTTTTGGAATGTCAGCGAGACTGCGAGAGTCGAGACAGCGTTATGCACTTTAGTGTAGGTGTTTAGGGTTATTTAGTGAGTTGGATCTTGTTGGGCTAAGAAATTAGACAATAAAATGAGTAATTGGGCCAAAAATTTGGATTTAGAAATTGTTAATTTGTTAATTTGTTTAGAAAAAATTAAAATTAAAATAATTTGATTTATTCAATATAAAAAAATTTAGAAAGATTCGGTTCTTATTCGATTATTCGATTTTTGGTCTAGAACCGAGAACCGAACCGTACCCGTCGGTTTTCAATTCAGATACCCGTTCGGGTATTTAATTTGACAAGAACCGCGCGCGCGCTGATGCTCTCTAAATCGTCATTCGAGGTCAGCGCACCATCGCGCGTGTCGGATAACGACGACGGGAATGGCGGAGCGTGGTCATCCGACGCCAACTTCCGCTTGTGGATTGACGACGTAGCGGAGGCAGAGGCGGAATGCGACGGTGATATAGACTGCGAGCTCCGTGAACGGCCGGGAGCCGTTAAGTGCGATGAGCGAGTATCCATACCTAGGGTTTAGTGAAAAGAAGAAAGGAACTGGTAAATTACAGATTCGTAGTGCAAAGATAGTGAATTTTCTTGCGTAGAATTGGGAATTCTTGAACAAATTGAGACCACTAAAATTTGAGGGCTGTTTCATTAAAAATTTAAAATTGTGAGTTATGAGATGTGAGTTTGACAATTAAAAATTGGGAAAATTGCAGCAAAAGTTTCAAAGTAGAAATATTAGTAAATTTTTTTCAAATATTTAATTTGTCGTAACCGTTACTTCAAACATTTAATTTGTTGTAAGAGTTACTTCAAACATTTTCAAACGTTAGTAAAACCTTTTTGAATGGTTTCCATCAACAATTTCGTTAGTTGATCAAAAATTTAAATTTGACCACTTTTTTAATATTTTAAAAAGAGGCAAAAGAGTAAATTTTATTTATCATATTAAATAATAATTTAAAAAAAAAACATAAACCCCCGTCTTCTTCCCCTCACCCCTCACCCATCCCCACTCTCAACTCAAACCCAGGACTCTTGATTGATGTGGAGGTGGGGATGGAGGTGGTGGTAGCGAAGGTTGGCATTCCATCCATCAACTTACTGAAAAATGGAGAAGATGAACGCAGATAAATGATAAGAAAATTAAAAAAAAAAGGTATATCAATTATCTCTTGATTGATGTGGAGGTGGGGATGGAGGTGGTGGTAGCGAAGGTTGGCATTATCCATCCATCAACTTACTGAAAAATGGAGAAGATGAACGCAGATAAATGATAAGAAAATTAAAAAAAAAAGGTATATCAATTATTTTACCCGTTTCACGAGTTCAGTCATTTATTTCATTCTATCATCCTAGCCATCCACAGAAGTCTTTTTCCCCTGCGGTTATTTCTCCAACTCCGTAACATTCGCCAACTCCATGTCTGTCTACCTAGCCTCGAAATACCAATTCCCAGTTCGATTCTGACTCGAGCCATCGTCCCGCCTCTGACTTGAGCCATCGCTATTGGTACAACATCTATCAGAACCAGGTTCCACCTTCAGTCCAACGACTTCATGGTCAAAATACTCATTCGTTAGCCCAGTAGACCACGAGAACGGACCCACATCGCATCCCAATGGGTCGGAGTCGGACAACCTTTCCTACCGAAATGGGTCGCCCAATCATGTTCTTTCTTATCATTATTGCCGCTTCCATTTTCAGTGGAAAAACATTGTGGTAAATCGAATAAAACCCTAAAGTTCGGGGTTTTGATGTTGGTTTTAATAGATAGTTGGGTAAATATGTGTTGAAGGGATTGCATTTTCTCCTCTTTTTAAACCTATATTTCTGATTGAACTGCAAAATGAAAAAGCAATGGTAGGAGAGATTACACACGTGATTTCTTCAAAATGGGCTTTGTTAGTTCGATCTCTTGTACTGGTTTAGGAAATCTTGAAAGAGTCGAAAGGCGGCCTAGTTAATTCGGGGTTTATAGAGAAATGGGTCAAATTCGAAATGCGTTACAATTCTTTCAAAAATATCATTTCCAATTAGAATGATCATCGTGCTAAAAATGGATCTCAGGCTGAAATATTGGAGGCCCAGGACTCTAGATTGAGGTGGCGGTGGCGGTGGTTGGTGTGGATTTTGGGCTGGTGGGGGTGGGGTGAGAGGAAGAAGACAGGGAGTTGTGTTTTTTTATTTTTTATGTTAAATTTAATTATTATTTAATGTGATAAAATGAAAATTTACTCTTTTACCCCTTCTTAAAATATTAAAAATGTAGTCAAAGTTGAATTTTTGTTCAACTAATGAAATTGTGGATGAAAATCATCCAAAAGGACTTCACCTGTAACGTTTGAAAATATTAGGGTAACGGCTGCAACAAATCAAAGGTTTAGGGAATGTCTGCTAATATTTCAAAATTTTTGGACTTGCAAATTTCCCTAAAAAATTTGGTAAAACTTATTTTTTAATATCATCCTATAGTCATCTCTTGTTTTATATTCAAGAAAGTTGTATGTGGGCAAAAATTACTGTATCGAAATAAAAAATCAAGCCGACCAGTTTGGTATTAGTTATGTGGCATATCTTAGGGTGTGTTTGAGCCTCTTTAACTTTGAAAAATGTATTTATAGACTAGTAAATTGATAGAGAATGTATGATTAAAAAAGAATGAAGAGTTTTTTATTTGCGTATAATATTATTTTAATGAAGATTGTGTGGTTGAAAAGAGCACTGTAGAAAAAATAATGTAATAAAATGTAAAATAATGGATGATAGACAAATGCTTAATTTAAATTCGATACTTTACACCAAGAATCAATAATTGCAATATAACTCTCAATGTTTACTGGATCCTAATAGTTATGTAGTCTTTTTATTCTTTTATTTTTTTATTTTTAGGTTAGGCACATCACTAAGCTGTACCTGATCATTAATTGGTGAAAGGCTAGGAGGTGGATTTGACAGTAGGCTGCACTTGGCTAAAGCCACTGTTGCCCAAGCCCATGTCCAGTAAAAATGGTACAAATTAGATGAAAAATAATTTTAGTTAAAATTACACCCAATCAGATTTTTTAAGATCTAACCCTGAAAATTAGATCTAAAGTTTATTTATACAAAAATTAAACATTAATTCAAATTTTTAATAGTAATAATACCACAAAATCTCAACCCAAACCCTAGTTACTTTCCATACCTGCATCCCAGTTCCCAACCGTTGTCATTGTTGGTAACAGTTGACTCACGATTCGTTTATTTATCCACAGCAACAAAAGCAACTTCCTGGTGGTTGCAAATCTATGTACCTTACACAAAAGGGTGTGAATCTATGGTGATCGGTCGTGATCTGCGCGAATTGTAGTGTACGGGAATTCGTACGGTGGTATTTTGTGTGTGATTTGGTGTGCGAGCTGATGTTAATGGTGGTTGGTGGTACGGTGGGGTGTAGCAGCGATGGTTTTCAGTTGTTTTTCCCTCTAACCTGCTTAGTCAATGTTTTGGAGTGCACGGTGTGGTGGTGGTTTTTACGGTTACGATAATGATGTGTTTTGCAGTTGGTGGTTGTGAGCAGGGATGGAGAGGAATTAATGTTACGGGGGTAAAAAAATTGAAAATTTTAATGTACGAATAAAATTTATATATAATAAGAAAAATTCATAATATAAGTTACTTATTGTAGTTGTACTCGACGATATTTTACAGCATAAAATTCATCTATATTATAATTTAGATCTAAATTCATACTAAATTGTCGTTCAATGTTTAATGTTAAATAATCAGCAAGAAAACTGTATTTGACTGGGAATTATTTCAATTGGTTTTGCAAAATAGGGGATTATATATGAATAAATAATAGGAAGAAATGGGATAAATGTGTATTATCAATTGATACAAATGAGGAGGTTAAATTAGTGGGCTAAAGATTAAAACAAAAATATATTTGAGGTGGACTAGCCCATTGAATTTTATTATTGATGGGCTAATAGATTACAATTCTCATAATATATATATATATATATATATATATATATATATAAACTAAAGCATTTAGGCATGGTTATTAGTGGGCTACAACCAAGTGCAGCCCACCTCTAAATTCGCGCATGATGGTGAGAGTAGGTGTAGCGATGATGATTTTGGGTTGATTTCTTCCTCCAATCTGCTTAGTCAAAGTTTTGGGGGTACGCAGTGCGACGGCGGTGGTGTGCGGCAACGGCGACAGTGACAACTTGACGTTCAGTTTATGTCTTGGTGGAGTGGGGATTGGGATGATTATGGTCGGATGGGGTGACTAATTATTTAGGTAAATGTCGCAGTGATGCGATGATTGTTGATGCGGTGGGTGTTTTGTGACCAATTATTTGGTTGATTATGATCAATAAATAATATGTGAACCGAAAAATATGATTATGGCTCCTAATTTATTAAGTTGAGATTGAAAAATAAATGGTGACCAATTAGTTTGATAAAATGTAACAATTAAATAAGTTGTGACTTATAAAATTTGTGATTTGTGAACGATGAATAAATTGTAACCCATAAAGTTTTTGATTTATGATCGAGAAATAATTTGTGACCTATAAAATTTTTGATTAGTGATCGAGAAATAATTTGTGACCAAATTATATATAATTATGACATTAATATGTTTAATTAATTATTTCATAAATATTTTTTTGTGAATATCTGATTTTTTGAAGATTTAAACGTTGTTTCTTAGTTTTGAATTAAGTTATACTTAATCTCTTGGATATGAAAATTTTCCTAGTTTTTATTTTTTAATCTATAGCCCGCCAACAATCAAATATCACTCGGTTGGCCTACCTCAATTCTTAGACTAATTTTTTGTTCTAATTTTTGGCTCCCAAATTTTCAAACTAACTCGTTTAATTTGAACACGCTCCATCCCATGTCATTTAGCCCCTGTTTGATTCCCATTATTTGAAAAAAAAATACATTTTTAAATAGTAGTTTCACATCATTTCAACCACACATTTTTCAATAAAATAATATTACACGTAAATTCAAAATTATTTCTATTTTTTAACCACACATTTTCATCGATACACTATTAAAAAATTCATTCTCATCAAAAGAATGGAGCTCAAACAAGGGCTAAATTTCTCTCTTATTTGATCTTCAAAGTTCAACCACGTACGTCATCTGAAACTGTTAAGAATCAACTTGAAATAATTCCCAAATTTTGTAAACCCTAAATATTTCCACACACCCACCAGAGCAGTTGACTACCAATTGCCTATCGTCAACCACAAATCACAACTATTGTAAATTGTAAGTATTTTCATATTTTCAAACACAAATTACCTATTGGTTTGAGTTTGGCTAAAGTGTTGAATTTAATTGCAATCATGTTAAGAATAAAAAATCACAAAATAATAAATTGATAAATCGAATTCATACATGCGAAAGTCATCGTTAATAGGAATAATAGCAACTATATCTTTCACTCCTTGCTCCTCACAAATTATCAGCCGTTAATGAAACAAGCTAATGAAAACAATATGGAGAGAATAGAGGACCTAGCTTTTATATAGAAAATTATCAAGCTGTCCTATTACGACTTAAACTCTAATTAGGGTTTACATATATTTCTGGCCCATATACTTAAAATTACCACATCATATGAAATAAAACTCGTAAGGTATAACAGGCCCAA